GCGTCAGCCAATCAAATCCCGTGTATGCAAATCTGACAGTTCAAGCTCTATCCAATGAAACTGCGTATATGCTGGGAGAGACATACCGCAGGTCATTTCCTCATATTCCAAAACATGGAGGAGAAGTTAGCGGTAGGGAATCACCCGGTGCTTTATGACCAGTCCCTATTTACCTACCGGGATACAAACCGGAGGAGCCAGGCATGGAGGGAGGTGGCAGAGACAGTGGTAGGTTTTCGCCTGTTTGGGGAGTTTATATCCAGTTTACTTCGGGCTTTTTTGCTTCGTATGTCGGGGGCGGGAGATTCATGTGATTGGTTGTTGGTGCCTTGCTCGCAAAAGATCCCCAAGCTTCAGATACGCCCACCTCCAAGATTTTTTTAACGCTGCTGTGTGGACGGGCCGTTATAGTTCAATGACTCTTTGACAAGTGGACAGGATGAACTGGGAACAAGCTGCCAACCAACAACAGACTGTCTAGTGTTTCGTTAGGACAAAAACGGTTACGATGGAAGTTTAAAGTCTAAAGATTAAACTGCCTGTTGAAAAGTTCCTTTAAAACCAACCCTTTGGACAAAACAATCTCTCCTTTTGCCATTTTTAAAAGGCGTTCAAGGGGTTTAATATCGTCAAAGAGTTGTTGACTACACTTAGTCTTTTTCATTAGCACAGGGACTTGTTGACTTTGGAAAAGCTCTTGTAAGAGAAGAATTACAAATACGAGGAGGGACTTAAATTCCCCTCGAGCTACCTCTAGACAAAGAGAAAACAAAAAACCAATAGACCTCCCTCTCACACAACAAACAACAAAGAAATACAAACAGCTCTTGAAAGCCACCCTATGGGATGACCACGGAGAGGTTTGAGCATATTAAAGTGATTCTTAAAATCTACCTGCCAGGTTTTTCCCTGAAGTGAAAGAAAATGTCTGCATCTGTTGCACTCAACAATTCCACAAAGAGGAAGTGTTTCTACATCCGGGTCTCTTTGTTCGGAGTCAAATGTCGTCCCTTTGCTTCGTTTCTGGAGGATTAACGATCCAATTCAGACGCTGTCATTTGGGCAAATGCATGTGTCTAATCAGGAATTAGGGCCTTAATAATAACACGGATGTGATGAGCGTTTTCTTCTGGTGCTAAATCTTACCGACGTTCATTTCAAGGCTTGCAAATCGGGGGCAGATGGAATTAGCCAATAAGTGTGTGGGGGATGAGAGATGTGTCGCTAGGGGTCGACGCCTTTTGTGGAACATAAGACCCATTTATCCCAAATTAGGACGGGTGCGGCACTGGTTTGCTTTGATGTTCCTCTTGGTGGAGTGCAGCAGGGAGGACGGGGCAGATTGCTGCAGCACAAACAGATGTTCAAGGCTCATCCTTTGAGGCGGTGATGAAACGTCGCCACAGCGAGAGTCTTCACATCCCACTGTCAGCCGGTTGACTCAGAGACAAGGGCAGGGCTGCACTTATACTTTAATAGTGCTGCATATGGGCTGATATTCCACCAGCGGCACGTCAAGCAGTCTGACCTATATCTGAGCTGGGCTTAAGAAGCTTCATATGGCAATTTATCATAAGAGGGAATTAGCCTGTTAGCATCTAGATATTAGGAAATGTCCACTACGATACCATGGTTTGGTTAAAGATCTTAAAGAGGCCCTATTATGCTTTTTCAGAATCAGGTTTATTACCGGGTAGGTTCACACGTACGAGGAATTTGACTTGATGTCATGGTGCATACATAAAAATAAAAAACAAAAATGTAAAAAAGAATACAGATAGCGAACTATATTAAGAACACTGTTATACAAATATAGTTTCCCCTTCCTTTACTGTGTTGTATGGGTTTGTGTGCATGTAAATGGTCTGCAAAGGCTAACATGCCTGTGTTTCTCTCCCACACTAACATAGTGACATCACTTTGTAACACTAGCGCTTCTATTGGCTAGCGCTCCAACACATTGTACGTGATAAACTAAGGGGCGGGTCATCTCTATGCGGTTGACCAATCACAACAGAGCCGGCCAGATAACCAATCAGAGCAGACTGGGCTCTGGTTTCAGACAGAGGGTGAAAACAGGTGCTGCAGCACAGGCAGTATGAGAAAAATAAAGAGCTTTAAAGCTCCCATGTCATGCTTTTCCGGTTATTACCCGTCCCCTTGTGTGTTATGAAGGTTTTTATGCATGTAAACGGTGTGCAGAGTCAAAACCCTCAAAGTACACCCTGTAGCGAGTAAAACTCTAACACACAAAATACCTCCCCAAAACGCCTCGTTGGAGATACGTCACTGCCCATTTGATTCTTCCGGGTACCGCCTGATGTCATGCGGTACCCGGAACGAAATGGACCAATCCCGAAGAGCTATGGCCACACCAGCAGCGGCGTGTTCCTCCTCCAGAGGTTCGATGAACCGGCATTTCACAGACGAAAGCTTCCAAAAACATTGCCCAGTTTGAGGCCGGATATGCACAGCTTGTTTGGACCGTTTGGAGCAGGGGAAGATCTGGGTATACAACCTGTAAGTTTGCATTGTTATTTGTGTATTTATCAAACAAGACTGTTTAAATGTGTAAACTGTGTTGGACTGCTAAGCCATTGACACAGTGCTAACTGTGCTAACTAAGTTGCTAGAGTTTCCATATATCAACTCTAATATCAGCAGATGGCCTTGCATACATGTATCTTATAGCAGGAGAATGTCTGCATTCACACACAAAATACCTATTGACAGTATACTGCGGGTGATTTGCCGGTCAGTCGCGAAACGTAATTACATTATAGCTGGCGTAGCGATCTAACACACGGAGCTTGAGCTAGTTTTGGTCAGAAAAACATTTTTGTGATGCTACGTTGCTAGCGTTTAAATATATCAACTACAATGTCAGCAGATGGCCTTACATGTTTGTCATGGCAGGAGAATGTCTGCAGTCACACACACGGAATACTCATACAGTATACTCCGGTTTACCGTACATTGTGACCGTACATATACTGCATGTAGCTAACGAGGCTAGCTGTATGCTAGCGCAAAACAATGTATTCATGCAAGTTACATTGTATGGTAGCAGAATACCCGTATACGATTGCAATTATAAACACGTTATTGCTAGCCTAATATGAACCACTAGCTTTTGTTCATAGTAGTTTTATTACACTGCATTATAGTTGCCTTTCCTCCAAGCTAACGTTCATATCGTGTTAGCTACCAAGGTAAACAAAGCTAGGTTAGCATATTAGCAGGCAAGCTGTTCATTACACAACTACTACTAACGAATCTAAAACAACTAAGTTTCTCTAATATTTTGTGATTTGCATTTGATTTCGTCCAGCCAGATCCTGGCGGACAATCCATGACGGGGAAGGGATTCTACTACTACTGAGGCGTCGTGCTAAAAGGCACCGCACCGCACCGGCTGTGCGCAGGCAAGAGGAGGAGGAATGGATGATATACCGTGTATATATGTATATTTATGTTCATTTTGTACATTTCTAAAAATAAAGTTTAATGGAAATACTTAGTAGGCCTATCCTTTCTTCCCTGAATTCATATATAGCAAACCATGATTTGATTTCTCATCAAACAGTAGTAGTTTATAACGGGTAAAAATAACTTACTCTTTGTTATGAGCGGCTCGTAGGCCACAACGGAAAGACAAGGAGACATACACGAGTTTACAAAACCACGGCACATTTATTGTGGTAAATGCAAAGATAGGTGGTTGAGAGGATCGCAGAGTTAGTCTTCCTGCAGCCGCTTTGGAGAGAGACTGGGGCCGTAGTGTCCGGAGGTGTCCGTGATCGTGCTGATTAGCTTCTTCAGCTCCACCCCATCGTAAGACAAAGGCCCTGGGGCCGTCACACTCTTCTATAACAACAGTTAAAAATATATATGTATATAAAATATACCGCTGTACCGACGCCATGATAAGACTGATGTTACGCTGAGAGCAGCCGGGAAAAGCACTGACATGGGCGCAGCCTCTCTGGTGGTTGACTAATCAGAACGAGTGGCCGAGCTGACCAATCGGAGCACACTAGGCTCACAGGGAGGGGGGGGCAAGAGCTCCAACGAGTCGTTTAGTGGAGAAAGTGAATACTGCTGAATACACATGCTTGACAGAGATGCTGTATGCGAAACCAATGTGAGTTTGGAAAATTGCACAGTATAAATCTATTTTAGTATACCTCAACAATGTAATTATGATCAGTGGAAATGGCCATGACATGGGCCCTTTAAATTCAATGGAAACCGAAGTCATTACAATTTAAAGCGGCCTTGGGTCCCTTGAAAGGCGCTATAAAAATGAAATCTATTATTATTATTAGCAGATCAGCACAGCAGCTTGGGTCCAAAATATATTTTTTATTACATTACATATTATACATTTTCACTTAGCTGACTTTATCCAAAGCGACGTACATTAAAGTCAAACAATGGTAAGTGCTGCTGCATTGGCTTCGAATTTCACAAACCTTTCTAAGTTCTACGTACAGTACCGAAAAGATAATTTCTCAACCTTCTCTTTACATTTCAACAGGTTTATAATGATTCACAGGTTTATCAACATCTCACAACTGTTGATTGGTGTCAGTGCCAGAAACACTTTTTAGGAGCTCATGGTATGTAATTTGGTTGTGTGTGCAGACGGTGGAAGCAGGGAGAGGCATAGACGTGCCTTGATCCCTGCCGAGTCGACGCACAACTGTTGATTGGTGTCAGTGCCAAAATACTTTTTAGGAGCTCATGGTATAGATGTGGCGCATACATCTTAATTCCTACTCTTTTCCCTCACCCTATCCTAAGGGAGTGCATGGATTGTCATACTGATATTCTGTACAAACTGTGAAGTCCACTGAGACAAATGTAACATTAGTGATATTGGGCTATATAAATAAACATTGATTGATTGATTGATTGATCTCTGTAATTTATAAATGCTTGCCGTCATCTTTCAATATTTGATTGTCATCCAACAGCTTGTATTTTTGTCTCTGCAGGAATATGACGACGGCTACGGGACAGCTTACGATGACCAAGGATATGAATCGTACGACAACAACTACAGCACTCAAGGACAGAAGTAAGTGTTCCTATTTTCTTCCCACAGAACCCTTTCTATTAGGCTTTTGCCAGCCAAGTATATCTTCAAATGTTGTTCATATGTCTGTGATTCACACGCAGTCCCATGGTTGGGTTGAGCTAAAGGAGGCAGCTTCTCTAATGTAGAGAAGTGGAAAGTGTCGAGAACAGGCGTATAGCATTTGCTAAATAATATAAATCTCTGACTTGCCTTTAAAACTTCACCTATCAACAATTTTACAAATCTAAAGTATGGAATTAATATATTACATTACATGTCACTTGTTAGACGCTTTTATCCAAAGCGACTTACATACTCAATACTGTGGACAATCCCCACAGGAGCAATTTGGGGTGAAGTGTCTCAGGGACACAACGACATGCTGACTGCTGTGGGGTTTGAACCTGTGACCCCCTGATCCGAACACCAACGCACAACCCACTGCACCACACGCCTCCACATATATATATATATATATATATATATATATATATGTAATGTGATATGAGTCCCTATAGTAGACTAAAAGACAATCGTCACCTGACTTTTACAGGTGTTTCTCAGCTTTACTGAGCATGTTTACTTCCCGTCTTGCAGTACGTTTGCATTAGTTTTGGATTCCTAGTGAACTGGCAACTGAGAAAACTGTGAGAAATACATTTCATACAAATCCAAACGGTGTTATCATGTTGTCTCGGAGTTCATCCCAGGGCAAAAACATGACTGAACTCCAAACAGATTGCGTAAGTGCACTGAATAAAAGCATTAGTTTTGATGTATGTCTCCCTGCATCTGTGGGCAGCTATTCCTCAGCAGCCTGACCATTTGGGTTAGAGTAAATGTCATATGTGGAGAAATTGAGTTTTTGGTTTCAGAACAGCTGGATTATGAGCCGTTAGGAGTCATTAACGCTCGTTTTCTGCCCTGTTTGAAACTCAAAAGAACACTTTGTGTTAATGAAGTATTTTGTGAAGTGTGAAATGTTTTGAGTGACCTTTAAGATGTCTTTTAAGAATAAATGTTCGACCACGTCTTATAATAACAGGCAGATTGTATGCATAGCAGGATCTCTAATCCACATTTTTTAGTTTTATTTTATGAAACGGCTCTGATTAAATCTCAGCAGACTCTTTGACGTATTCCTTTAAGTGTAGCTAATTACGCTAAACATTTAATCTTTTGTTTTAATCACCAATTTGCCTGATGTGTCTCTGATATCATTGCAAAATAAAGAGTCTTAGCGGTCGCTCCGTCTAACAGAGGGTCCTGCAAAGCTAAATGCAGAATATTGATTTTCTTGTTTCCAGCGAGCTATCACACTCTCAGAGGCAAGGTCAAAGGCTTTCTGTTCGGCTTGTTCGTGTCCCGCTGTACTTCATCAGGACACACGTTAATGTATGCCTGTCTGTGCCACGTCAAAGAAAAGAGTGATTGCCGCCACATTTAGTCCGTCAAAAATTGGATGGTATTTGCAGCAGCTGGAAAAGATGAAAATAGACGGCGTAGAGAAAAAAAGATGATGCTGTCTTTTGGCTTTTGAGAGCAGGGGGGTCGATGTTTTCTTTTGTGGAGGTGTCAGGATGGATGTCACCCAGGATCCATCCATCTTTTGTGCTATCTCTTTTTTCTGGATCACACACTCCACACACACTCCGAGGGATGTATCTTGAAGTGTTGCTGGTGACGCTCGCTGGGGGGAACGCAGCTATTGGCTTTTGAATTATGGCGTAAAGAAATCTCTGTTGTGATTACATCCTTTTGCGGTAAGAAATATGTTTGTGTTGGCCGATGAAATCTCTAGGGTTAGGGTTAGGGTTAGTCCAGGGGTGTCAAACTCAAGGCCCGGGGGCCAAATCCGGCCCGCGACTTCATTTTATGTGGCCCCACAAGAGCTTGCAAAGAATATAATATGTTTATTATATGGTTACATGCTACTCTACAGAAGCACGTTGCCCATAAACGACTTGTCCCACAATGCGTCCCAAATTTGACTTGTTCTCCGAATTTGACTTTTTTTGTCAAAATATGCCGTTTTTCTTAGAATTAGCCTTTTTCTCAAAAATTACTTATTTTTCAAAATGTCACTTCTTTTTTTTTGTTTTTCCAGAATTTGGCTTTTCTTTTAAAATCATTTTGTGACATTCTCACTGAAGAGACTTGCAATTATTTCCCCTAGACTTCTGCTTTCAGACGTAGTTAATTATGAAGTTATTACCCTATCTGATAATGATCCAATGCAGAGACAATAATGTCATATAATACATACGTTTATATTAAATATTTACATATGTATTTTTATATAGTCTTAAAGTTACAACCGGCCCTTTGAGTGCAACCATAATGTTGATGTGGCCCGTGATGAAATTGAGTTTGACACCCCTGGGTTAGTCCATCAGAATGTGACGGTATTCCTTGCCCCATTCTTTAAGTAATGCTGTAAGGTAAAACAAAAAAAACATTTCTGTCTGTTTTAGGGCCGAGAACATAAATGTTTTGCCTCTATTTTTATACAAACAAAAGCTTGAGACAACATGATAAATGGAAAGTATTTATCGACATGAGATCGTTGTATAAATACTCATTGTATTTATTCTTCTTTACTTTACTCAGACATGATACTAGTAAAGTATATATAAGAGCAGGTTGGTCGATGTTTTTTCTTTTTGTGAAGGTGTCAGGATGTACCTCACCCAGGCTCCACCCATCTTTTGTGCTATCTCTTTTTTCTGGATCACACACACTCCACACACACTCCGAGGGATGTATCTTGAAGTGTTGCTGGAGGGGAACGCAGCTCTGCCTCAGGAATCTGCAGCTCTGCCTCAGGAATCTGCAGCTCTGCCTCAGGAATCTGCAGCTATTTGTTTTATAAGGAGCCTCGTGAATGACGGCGGGGGAGGGGTGGCGGTGGTGAAGGTTGGTGGCCCAGAAAGAAAAATGGAGTCCATCATGTAAAGGCTGCAGGCCGGGTCGACTAAAAGGGATTTTCATGTCTTTTATCTGGTGGAGACAAAGCTACTAATAGGGCCCAGACATAGAACCAGCGCCTCCAGAGACGGCTGAGTCACTTACTTCTGCTCTTGTTTTTGTTCAAGATTTAGTTTAAAGTCACTTCAGGCCAATGTTGTGCATGTGTACAGCTTGATGCAGTATTTCTGAGATTTGACCGTCCTTGGATTGATTGCATTTTGATATGACTTTGATCTCTTTGTTTGAAAAGGATATCATACTATCCTCCTATACTTTCCTCACCAGACACAGAATCACCAGAAGAAGGACTTTATATTTGTGCTGAATTATTTGATCACTCATCAGAGAATTAGGATAATTGGATTTCATTGATTGAATTTTGAACGTGTGACTATAGATATAAGATTATGTGGATTGTTGTCATTATTTGGTGGTTGTGAGGAGGCTACATGATATGGCCCTGATATTGGAGTTTAAAAATCAGTTCTTACTTTTCTCAACAGAATGAGCAGAGAGAGGACTCCTATTTAGAAGTGGTGCAGTAATGAGTCCTACTGTATAACTCTGGAAGAACTGAGCATTTGATCAAGCAAGTCGACGTTTTTTTTAAACTTGTTTGTGATTAGAAGCCTTAAATGAGGTCTGAGGTTAAAACAAGCTTAAAAGATTTATTCTACGACATACAATACGTTTAAATGATTTCTGCCAATGGCACTTACGCTAAATAAATCACAAAGTGGTGTTAACGAGATCATCCTGCTGAACAAAACGTGTTAAGTATAGCGTTAGCAATAGAGATTATTTACTGCAATATACCAAAATCCAACTGGGAAATCACATTGCTTTTTGTCGCATGTATCTTATATACATTACATTGTACACTATTATTTAAATTAGACTTTCTCACGCCACTCAAGGAGTAAATACTGTAGGCATCTACCAATCAAAGCGTTAGCAGTTCAAGTGTCCTTGGGCAACATACACTTACTCTCAAATTGCTGCTATAGAAATGTCTACGGTATTAAAGGGTGTGTAAACCTCAGCTTAATAAGGTACAATTATTAATTATATTTATATTATAAAGACATTTGTTTATCCATGTATTACCTTGAACTAGTGCACTTTAGCCACTGCATTTCATACTGCAACATAATACTATCCTTCCACTCTCCTTTACACATTTACAATCCAATTTAGAAAAGGTATAGCAGGTACCATCTGCAGCAGGGCCTCAAGGAGAGTGTGTGTGTGTGTGTGTGTGTGTGTGTGTGTGTGTGTGTGTGTGTGTGTGTGTGTGTGGTGTGTGTGTGTGTGTGTGTGTGTGTGTGTGTGTGTGTGTGTGTGTGTGTGTGTGTGTGTGTGTGTGTGTGTGTGTGTGTGTGTGTGTGTGTGTGTGTGTGTGTGTGTGTGTGTCTAAGGATCCCAGTCACCAGTCTGAGCTCTGACTGCATGGCAGGATTTCGGTTGCCGGAGGATAACAAGCAGAACAATTTACAGTCTCTCTGTCATGGTTTTACCCCGGTGCCTCACGCTGGAAACAGACCTGCCATTTGTGAAGACAAAAGGAAAGGAAGAGGGAGGTTTTAAAAAATCCTCCTGCTCTCTCAGAGTGTGTAATGCTGCATCAGTAGATTTATCTAATCATCTTGGAATATATTTCAACAGCACATGAAATACATTTAGCTATAGGGGGTTATGACAGAAATCTTAATATCCCAGGTAGTTGGGGAGAAACGTGGGGGTTTGATCGTACTTTAAATAAAAAATCTGATCTAACTTTCCTCACAAGACACCAGAAAAAGGGCTCTTTATTTGTTCGGGTTCATTGGGATGGCAGAGAGTAACGGACCGTCCACACAGCAGCGTTAAAAAATCTTGGAACGCTGCTGCCCATTCACTTTGAATGGGGTGACGTCACTTTCCCTCACTTTTCGCCGAACTGCATTGTGGGCAGGCGAGCGGAGATTTTCAGGATTTTCAGGATTCAAAGTTGAGCAATGTTCAACTTTTGAAGCTGAGGTGGAAGCGTC